CGCGTCGCCATAGTGGCCAGTTTAGCGGATCGTTCGGATCATCGGATGGTTGAGGAATCTGGGGTTCGGGTCAGTGCTATGGCCACCCGTAGATCGGTGAGAATACATGACGCGTACTAGAATGATGGGTTCCTTCCCACTCCTATCGAATTTGAGGTTTTCGTGATGTTCGTTGGCGGTTTGGGGCTGAGAAGGGTCATCGAAGTACCGGGTCGTACCTTTGCGGTGTCAGCGTGTCATGATCGATCGATATGTTGGGAACAAAGCATGGCGAGTGGACAAGTACCACGCACATCATGGGGAATCAGGATGATCATCAAAACATACCAGGAACATGCTCGACACCCGGAGCCTCAAGGATCCCCAAGGCCATCGTAGCAACGACGTGAGCTTCGATCGAGCTCGGTGAAGTGAGTGGAGCACAGCAAAGGCACCCACCCGACAGCTAGGGCATGGCACGCTGTGTGCCAAGGGCAAGCTGCGACCACACAGGACAAAGAGTTTGTCTTACTCGCCGTGTTCTCCGGCGGCACAGGGTGATGATACAGACAGGCAGGGCTGGTTCACCTCTTCCATAAACGGGCGTCGGTGCTTGGGAATGGGATCCGTGCAAAGAATGGGTGGAGATGGAAGACCCTCCTTTTTCGTTCCGTGAATTTGACTTGCCGAAGAGGGTTAAGCCGGAGTGGAACAACTGCTAAAGCCGGGTGCCGGTAGTGGGGGGAGGTCCCATTTACCCACATCCACACACTCAACCATCCAATCAAGGCCGAATTGTCGATCACAGACAACCCTCTTTCACGATTCATGTTTCCCATGGCTTTGGGCTAATGATGGTGTTCTGCCCAGTCGGATAAGATTGTGTTGATGCTGCAATCAACCCTGGATAGCATCATCTTTGGCCTGGAGCGTACGTCATATCGTCTCATGCATTCGTCGTTTTGTACTTCCGAATTTGGAGTTATCTGCCCTCGGCCCAATCAGAGTCTTACCTCAGCATCACACCTCTTTTAGCAGCAGAGTCTTAGGCAGATCAGGAAAACTGGCAGCTGCTCCCTGGACCAATGCAAGGTGTTGCAAGTAAACTTACACGGACGGGGACGGGCTGGCAGTAGCACCAACACCAAGGGGAAGGTGCCTCGGTAACGCAAGGTACATACCTGCCTCGCGTGGGTGGGTAGGGCGCGGAAGGAAGGTGTTACTGCCGTGGGTGGTAGGGATGGGTATGGATGTATGTATGGCACTTGCATGAAAGGGCGTTGAGGCGTGTTCTGGGCCTCGTCCCCTAAGACAGAGCCCGAGGGGGAGGGTCCATTGGTGGATGCTGTTCGCCGCAGAAATTGAGGGCCTGAGACACCGCTTCTCTCTCTCACCAGTCGCAAGCGTCACTTGTCAAGCTGCCGAGTCACTTCAAATGACGAGAAGCGTCGTTTCGGCATGATGACGACTCCATGATGACCTTTGTTACTTCTTTTGCTCTGATCTCAGTTCATTCTCGTCCCTCACTGGGCCCAGCAGAACCTTAGCGACTCCATCGACCCTCTTTGGTGTCGTCAAACCCTTGCCCGCCGTTGCTCGTCTCTTGTCGGGGAGCCCTCGGGTGCGCCTTTAGATCCCCCATCTTGCGACATTAGTTTTAGACCCAGCGGGACCCTGGTCCTGGGGGCCCTTCATCCCCCTCGCTGGAGTCGCCGATTCCTGGTCGCATCGCGTTGCTTGTTCGGAGACTTCTTCAGCCACGGCCGACGTCTCAGCCATGAAAACGGCTCTGGGGAATTCTAGTGGTCCACAGCTGGCGGTTGCCAACCAGCAACAACCCGGGAAAGCTGAGTGTCTCGTTGCCTCCGTTCGTGCGTCATGCGCACACTTTCAAGGGACCAGCCGGCTGAACTTCCCCCCCAGGAACATTAGAGTGCCGAGCCCACAAACATGTTGGCATGTTCAGCGGACGTTGCTAGCGCCGTGCTACCTTGATGCTTGAATATGACCTATCACCAACTGCTCCAGGTTGCTATCATGTTCCCTTGCTCCTTGCAAGCAAGGCAACCAGCGGTCACCCTTCGAAAACTCGGAATCGAGCAGGGGGCATGGATGGGTTGTCCCATCGGCCAACGTTGCGCCCCTTTGACATTGATACCTAAGCATACGTTACCGCTACCGATACTACCTGCTGTAGGAACAAGGACAAGGACGGACGACTACGACGCTACCGCCGACGTGCAACACCCAAGTGGCGCTCCTCCTAGCCTAAACCTTCGAAAGATGTGGGGGTTAAAAACGTCCGGAAACAACTCCTCCCACGAGGCCAAGGACGGGATCCAGCAATTGGGTGCCAGCGTCCAACCAGGCTTCCCCCTGCTCAAACCATCTTGAAAGCACCCGTACGGCAAGGCTATTGGATAATGGACCAGAAAATCCTACCAAGGATCGTGATCTACACAAACACCTTGTTCAGCTGAGATGGTATGAAAGATGACAATCCACACCCTCACGGCACACAATGGTTGGCGGACCTCCCGGACGTTGGCCCTGTGGCCCCCCGGTTCCCTGCATATTGCGGCTCTGGCTTTTTAGTCAACCTCCAACCTTTCTTCTTCTATTCTTTCAGCCGAGAATGACATGCCGATCGTGGCTAAATCAGGCCCTGGCTGAACTCAGCCTTATTTCCAACGGACAAACCCTCTGAGGATGGGCTGCGCTACACACCAGATTGTCTGGTACACATGGCTTGGCCCGTGGACCACCACAGCGGGGGTGACCCGAGCTTATGATATGCAGCTACAGTTCCCGGTCCTATGAGAAGTGATACCATGGTATCCCGGTCCATTCTCGAGCAGTCAGTCAGTGAATAAGCCACTCAACCGAATTTCTAGCTGAGGGAGACCGCCACAGGATCGAGTTTGGGGAATGCCCATAGGCGGTCAGATGCTAATTAGCAATGGTTGTTTGGCGAAATGCCATTGTTCTGTGGGACTGTGCTCGACTGTGCCACAGCGCCATGCACACTAGGTTCTGCCACAACTAGGTAGGTACTGATGGTTGCATCGACATTCGTCACTCGCTGACTTGCATCGTGTGGGTGTCGAGCTCAAATTAGACAATTGTCGTGGGTAGGGAACGCAGCGGTCGACTCGATTGAGACGCACAAATGACGCTGCCATGGGCCCCCTTCGGGCGCCACGACGGCAGTTCCAGCAATGACCGGGTCAGATCAGGTCAGGCACAGGCACAGGCACATGATTGATGAAGAAAAAGTTGCTTGTTGCTTCCCAGGGCCGGCGCGCGCTAACGATGTGGGCATGGAGAAGGCCGATCGCGAGGCGCTACCGCCGCCACGACGCACTTGCAGCGACAGAGGCACCGGCACAAGCAAGGGTTGAAGAGAGAAGAAAAAAAAAAGGAAAAAAAAAGGAGGGCAAGCAAGCAAGGCCGAAGCGGACGTGGTGACCGTCTCCCCCACACACGATGGATGCCTCCCAGGAGAACGGTCTGCGTCCTCACAGGCTCCGGCCGGTCGGTGCGGACGGTGGACGGTTGACGGGGTTGGACGATCACGCAGAGAGCGGGCACTCGGCAGTGGCAACGACGGCGTTGACGCCAGAGGGAGTGTGCATCAGACGATGAAGCGCGAGTTCTTAAACGTTCTGTCGCGTGTTTGGTCGATTTAGACGTTTGGTGTGTGTGCGCGCGTATCGATCGGGTGTGAGTGGGCTCTGGATCTGGCGAGCTGTCATGAGAGGAACCCCCAAGGTCGGACGGAGGAGAGAGGGAGCTCGATCCCGGCCCGTGGTGAGATCCGGCGATGACGTCCAGCGGGCACGGATGCTACCTCAGGGACGCCAGTGACGATGCCTTCCCCCCCGGGGCGGCCCAAGCTTAACGGTGCGTCCACGGACGGCTGAGGTTACGGCACGGTGCTGGGCAGTGCAGCGCAGCGCATCAACACCACCACCCTTGAAGGTTGAAGCGGAAGCGCAGCGCAACAGAATAGGCAATGAGAACGGTGCGGCGGTGGTGCGGTGGTGCGGTGCGGTGCGGCGCGGCGCCGAGGTGCACCGTGTATCAGTCAGGCGCCGCCGCCGGGGCTTGATGGGTTGCGTGCGTTGTGTTGCTCTGCGTGGGCTCACTCTCACCACGGAGCTGGGCCAGGACGGTTTGATTTTCCTGGATACCCTCCACTTCCCTTGGCTCCCACCACATGGTGGCTACTCGGACGGGGCCTTTTGGCAGCTCTGACGGATTGCCAACCGCCTCTAGCTGGGGGAGCTCAGGAGCTTCGACTTGTGTCGAGTCTTGTATTTGTTCCCCTCGTCTCTCGTCGGAGTCGGACTTGGCTCCGGTCGAGTTCAGTTCACATCCTGCCAGTCCCCATTTGCGAATCTTTTCCGCGCCCTCGCTCGTCTCCGCGTGCTGAAAAACTCTCTCCCCAAAGATGTCTCGCCATATCCCAACACCAAGGCCTCTCTAGCCGCCCCGTGGTTGTTACTCGTCCATCGTTCCCCTGCCCTTCCCTGCGCTGCGCTGCGAGCCAAAGCAACGCCCGGCCGCCTTTGCATCTCATCCCGCGAACCTCTGCAAGCCGTTTTTCTTCGTCGAGAAGCGCTTCACTTGACGTACCCCATTTAACGCCCCCCCTAGTCTGTCCTGTCCTGTCCTGTCCTGTCCTGTCCGTCCTTCTCCCGCTGGCCGCCCGCCTCAGCTCCCTTGTGCGTGCATTCTTGTTGTCCTGCCCCTCCTATTTTATTCTCACCCTCGCCTGGCCTGTCCTGTCCGCTTGCGAAGCGTCGCACATCGCCGCTCCCTGGACGGGGCCACCTGAGCTCAACGCTCAACCACCTTTTCTTTCGCCTCGGGGCGCCCTGCCCAATGGAGCCTACCGATTACATCTGGGAATTACAGTCATCTTAGAGAGCTTTTTAGAGCTGCTGTTTTCCCAATTCCTCCCGTCTCCCGTCGCACTCACATGTGAGCATACGGTCAGAAAGCTGCCCCTTCCCACTATGGACGCTGGGCCACCCTCATCCAGCAACGTCTCACCCGGGCCTGGGCCGCAAACCAGTCGGAAAGAACGCGGCGCCATTGCAGCTCAGGTACGTTGCGGATTTACCTATCTCTGAGAATCTGGTTCTTTCATTCATTCTGTCGGTTCATTTATGGATGTCTTTGTTCTGTTCCCTCTTGTGCCTTCCCTGTTGAAGATCCTGGCTGCCGGTCCCCTCATCCATGGGGCCATCGCAGGGCAGGGCAGGAACCCCCCCAGTGTTGTCCCCTTCTACTCTCCATGGATGCCATCAACTTCCATCTGCCCCTGCACCGCTTGTCTTTGCTCTATCCGCCGGAGATGTACATCTTCATCAAGCCGATCCGAGCTGTAGCTGATGTGCCTATAGGCCTGTGAGACGTGCCGCAACCGAAAGCAGAGATGTGATGAACAGAGGCCAAAATGTGGTACGTGTCAGAGATTCAAGCTTGACTGCCGATACCGAGAACCTCAACCCACAAAGTATGTCTCATGAAAAAAAAGGCCGGGCAAAGCGGCATGGGAGCTGAGCATGGCCATTCCGCGGTGCTGCCGTTGTTTTCTCGGCCGCCGTCCACCACTGGCTGCTCAAGTGTGCTAAACTCTGCATGTAGGAAGGACAAGACCTTGGTTGAGATCCTAGACCGCCTCAAAACTGTCGAGTCCAAGATAGACAACTTGGGCCTCAGAGACACTACGACTCCTCCCCTCTTTAGCACTTCGCAGCCGGCAACCACCTATCCCGCGAGCACGCCGCTTCTGGTGGACCCCGAAACCCGAGATCCTCTTCCGGGGGCATCTCTCCCCTCAACGAGCCCGACGCCTTCCCACCAAGCGGGAGGCTATCGCTATGACCCCTCAGTGCCGAGGATGCTGGAGTGGCCTGTCATGCGCCAGATGTTCGAGAGCCTCGGCCAAAAGCCCCCATCACCGCTGGGCGAGCACGATATCCCCGCCCTCCCAAGAGGGCTCCGTGACTCAAGCATCGCTCTTCCCTCAGAGGGCCTTCAGCCAGTGGGCCTTTCAGGCAACGCCAGCCTTCAGGTGCCTCTGCAGCTCACGGGCTCTCCGTCAGCTCTCAACCTCAGCCCTCCCAGTGTCGACTGGGAGACGATGCAACGGCTGAGCAAGGGCTACTTTGATGTCATCAACTTCCTCCACCCCATCATGGACCGGCAATGGTTCAGCTCCAACACACTCACATCCATCCTCAACAATGGGTTCCAAGAAGGAGCCATCTCGTCGCTTGTACTACTTGTCCTTGCTCTCGGAGAGGTGGCGCTCACGACTTCTGAAGTTCCGATATCTGCGTACAAACAACGCCCATCGGGGATCAAGGGGGGGACTATTGATCGGCCGCCTGGCCTCGGATACTTTAACGAAGCAAGAAAACGAATGGGATTCGCACTTAGCGAGGTCAGCCTGGAGAATATTCAGATGTTTGCACTGGCGGCTCTGTACCACCAGAGCTGCGGACAGGCCCTGGTAAGTGCTGATACTCGGTCAGGTTGGACGACGTTGTGCTAACTTATTCCGCAGGAGTGTTGGAGGATGACAGTGTACGCATCCTTGGCTTGCCAGGCTTTGATAACAAGGTTTGAACCCCCGTTCAAAAGCAGGTCGGTACACACTAGGACATGCTAACAGACACAGCAAACCCAACGAGCTTCACGGCCCTCGCGCAGATTTGATTAAGCGGATATTTTGGCATTGCTCCATCATGGAAACGTAAGAAGACTGGTTGCGTTGGGGTGTTCTATGCTGATAGCCCATGCAGGTGTTTTCATATGGAGTTTGGGCTGCCCCTGACTGGTCTGGAGAAGCTGGACGACGCCATCGGCCTCCCAGACTTTAGCGGGCCGATCACCGACGACGACTATATTGGCAACCAGGCAACTCATTTTCAGGAACACTTTGCATCGCAGATTGTCTTGCGGAGGCTTTCTGCGAGTTTCCACTCGACTCTCAGCAAGGGTCAGTGACAGGGAGGTCTAGCTGTGGCTAGTATTTCTTTCAGGATACACCTCAACCCCATGATAGTGACGAGTGATGCTAACACGTCTCAGCATTTGGCATCAACTCAGGTCTTCCCCTGCCAGGTTTTGGGTCTTTTACAGGGTCGTCTAGCAGCGGTAGCCCGGCCCTAATGAAGCAACTCGACGCACAACTTGACCAATGGCGGGGTATGCTCCCAGGCCACCTGCGATGGCAAGACAACTTGAATCAGTCGATGGGCTTCTCGGATCCCTCGCACGATGCCTTTGGCGCCGTCTATACCGGCCAGCCTCTGCAGAGCACGTACATGTTTACCCCTGACCTCGATGCACCCCCTGCGAACTACCCATACGCCGCCGATATTCAGGTGGCGCTCCTCCGAACCCGATATTACTACAACAAGTATCTCATCTACCGACCATGCGTATTCAAAGCTCTCCACTACCCAGAGAGTCTGACGCGCGAAGACGCCGAAGGTGCAGCAGAGTGTCTCAAGGCGTCGCTCAAGTGGCCAATTGCTCTGTCACCGCCGTGCACCAACAAGAGGCTGGTACCAACTACCTTCTTCTGGTCACAGAACCTGTTTGGCATTCTCATCCTGCTGCATCTATCGCAGCAGCACCCGATGCTGGTGCGAATTCGGTCGTCGCTTTGCGGGCAACGCTTCGACGTGGAAGCTACCGAGAGTGTGAACGCATATCTAGATTGGCTACGCGACATGAAGAAGATAGACTCGACAGCGAACTGGTGCTGGAATATCATTCGCTTGATCTATCGACTGGACGAGTGAGGAACAAGAAGAGGAGGATATTGATCTCGAGGCTGCAACAGTAGGGCAGCGACGGGTTGAAGACTGATGGATTTCTACGCTTGACATGGCGGGTTTCGGCGAAGCGTGGCATGATTTTTTCAGCCTTGGAGACCAAGCGTCATCTTTGGGTGCTCAAAAGTTTGTTTGAGACGAGACGGTTGAAAGATTATAGAGGCGTTTGGACGATGGATGCCATGTTGATCACGTCAAGGGGGGCAAGGCTCGGAGAGAATCTAGTATTGATACCCAACCTACACTCACCTACTGCCTTTGATTTTCCCGCCATGGGTAGGAGGGCATCCTGGACACGCGCTCTCTCTTCATTTCCCTCGTCTCAACATTGTCTTGGCTGGTGCCGATCAAACCGGTCACATTGGGTCAGGGTCTCGTCTGGATGGCTATGAGCGGACAAGGCTGGTTCCAGGAGGCTGGCTGATACGAGCCAATACTCTCTGGGACCGATTTATGGGCAACGAACCGATCACGATAAGATTTGGGGTCGATGAAGCACTACGATTATAGCAAGCCCATTGGCCGACGCGGGCCAAGCAAGACACACAAAGACACGAGACGATGATGAGGGGGCAGGCGACCAGGAGGTGAGAGGTCGAGAGTGCTGGTCTGCGTTTTCAATGGCTGGACCAACAGTGAATAGGTGATGCTTGGATACGAGCCCCTATCCCTGGACCGTACGTTAGGGAGGAACAGCCATTCGCCAGAGGGTTGAAAATGTCGGGCACGGAAGGGAACGGAATGGGGTTGACAGGCGACACACACAGTCCAAGCATGGGTCAATGTACACTATATAATGCACTGTGACTAGGATTATAATGAAGGCAGTCTTGTCAAATCTGGTCCAATTTCAGGCTGCTTGGTTTGTAAATGTTGAAGTAAAATCACCGGCCAAGGCCACCCGTAGACCTGCCCGTCCCGAGACACCTCGTCGGCCGGCTCCCCGAGGAGCCACGCCCGGGTCCGTTAGCGGCAGGCGGCGGGCGGCGGCGTCCAGCTTTGAATCCGGGAGCTTACAACTAGCTCTCCAGGTTAGTTGGTGGAATAACAAACAAGGGCGTAGGGCTAAGCAGCCACTACGTAACAGCACTTGCACTCGGAAACGCTTCTACGTCAGATCCCTGGTCGGATTTAAAGCCCGTTTTGTTTCCTCGCATTTTTCCCTCGTGGCGCCCGAAAACGGCGAAACCGACGGCACGGGCCGGGGGTGTTGGTGGGGATCCAATCCCATCCTCTCGGCCGTTTGAACCCTACGTGGGATTTTATTGTCCGGAGGCGGAGGCGGAGGCGGAGGCGGAGGCGGAGGCGGAGGCGGCGCCTGCGGTAGTTGACATGAGGTGCATCAGTGGGGTTAAAAAATCCCATCCATCGTTCGGCTCGGCCGATAGGATTTTTTTTGTGAAACATGGTGTCAGAAGCTGGGGTGCCAATATCTGAAAGCTGCGGATAGTAAACTTGAACTTCGGACCCGAGTTTCTTGTGCAAGTATCCATCATCTCGGCTTCACCGTGAAAAAGCAACAGAGAGCCCACCACCCTGTCATCCAATGGATCCTATCTGCATGTATGTATGCGCACATAGTTGAAGCTCTTACAACGTCACTGCTGCTAACGTCACCGCTGCTTCGCGTGGAACGGTCGCGCCGCGGCTGGTTAGCGGCGTAGCACCCTTTGTGCAACAGCATCAATGGACAACTCTAAACTACCATGCACGAGAAATTGAGTGATAAAGACTTGATTATCAATCATCCAACACGGGCGCATTTTCTTTTGCATCCAGACTCACACAAATGGGCTCAATCAATGTCATCGTTAATTAAATCAAACGGCTGCCATTCACCGAGTAGCTTCTTGGCACTAGAGTACGTACTGAGGGACCTCTAACAAGGATCATGATATTCTCAAACTCGTCTATCTGATCCCCTCCCTGTGTCTCTAAACACAGACCAGCATATCTTTCATGATGAGACAAGCTTAATCAAGCTCATGGCTCGACGATTTGTCCATTTCCTTTTCGTACCCGCCAAACCAAATCAAATCATCCCATAAAACCATTCCATACAGAATCAACAAACAATTCGCATATCCTCACCCTCGTGTCCCACTTCCACCCTACACCCTCTCACAAACATCCATTCCATCCATTCATTCTTTACCAGAACTGGTAATCTTGCTTCCCGTCCCTGGTACTGTCAATCGTGCCATAGGCCTGTCCTCTAGTCGTCCGGAAACCCTGCGAGGTGCTGTTTGACTCGCCGATATGGTCCATTTTCGTCACCATTCTCAACGCGGGTTCGCAGAGAGCCGACAAAACACCATCCTCCATGAGCTTTTCAGCCGTCCAGTGCGTTCTTTCCCCAAACACCAAGCCCAAGTTTTCCTTGAAGAGTTCCTCTGCCCGTGTAGACGAAATATGAGCCTCAAACCATTGTGTAGGTGACCCCTTTCCAGGTGACGTCGCAGGAACTGTTTGACCTCGGAATTTGCTCTTGTGCTTGTTTGACGTGTTTGAAAACTTCTTGACGATACGTGTCATTGTGATTGTCAAGCGGCTGCGGCCCTTGGACGCATTCCGATACTTTGCAAGGTGCCGAATGTTGATTCTCTCAATTTGCCATCCAAGCCGACCCTCCTGCTCGGCCTCGATCTCGATCTCACCCGTGTCCCTTGTCCTTTGTAAGAGTTAGTCTAATTGTTGGACTTTTTAAACAAGGCTCACGACTTACGTGATACTCATTGAGTGAACCAATGACTGTGCAAAGAGCTTGAAGGCTTCAGGTACCGCCCCCAAGTCCACCCGGCTGATCGCAAATTTGACGTCCCAAGCCCGTCTGGCGCAGTGAACATAGAGATGAGACAGTTCCTGAGTTGCGGGGAGGCATTCATACTCAAAGGTAAGGGCGTTCACCTTCACCACGAGGGGAGCCGCCCCGTCGTGAGATTTGCAGACGATTTCATAGTAGACCTGTTTTTCGCTGAGCATCCATGAAGTCTTACCGGCAGTCAGCTGCGAAAGCAGATCAGCTTCCGTTCCATTGGTTGTGAGAATCGTGTAGAAGCCAACGGTGCCCTGGCTCTCACGTTCGTTGCTGTTGAGTCTGTCCAACACTGATTCCGACGTCCAAGCAGGGCCTTGCCCAATGTTGACCAAGGATGGTGGCTGATTCTTGAAGCACACCCTGCCAAACTTTGCTTCTAGACGAATTAGACCGGGCGTGACTTGTAGAATTCTTACCAGTTCCTGAAGTTTTGCTTCAGCCTTTGCAACCACTTCGATGCCCTCCATGAAATCTGGAGTCACCGGGTCCATCCCTGGCACAGCTCGCAGGGCACTGGCCGGTGGGCTGATATCTCTCGAAACTGTCGCCAACCCCAGGCTCATTCCTCTAGATGGACCGTCATTTTGGGATGGAGGCTCATTTTTCACAAAGGCTTGAGATTCCGTGGCGTTGGCAAGAGGGTGATTCTCCTTCTCGGAACCTGTTGGCTTGGGAATCGCCGGGACAGTCGAAACTCGAACGTTTGGTCCAAAAGGAGCCTCCTCGTTTTCTCCTTCCGTAGTTTTCTTCTTCGAAGCGATGTTGGCCCAAGTAGGACGGGAGGCCGCTTTTTGTCTCATGGTCTGGAAGAATTCTTTGGTAGCGTCTCCCTGCTTTCCAAATACCACGCTGGAACTGTGACCCGCCGTTGACTTGTTTTCCTTCCCGGATTGGGAGTTTTGCTTGTACCTATCCAGGGAATCCATTAGGGCAGGTGTGTGGACACGACAGTCGAGATAGTCCATCAAACTCTCTCCTGGCGGCAATGCTTTCTGGTTCTCGCATGTGCTGCCGCTTTGATGCGAGCCAGTCTCCACCGCAAGGGTAAAGGGGTCAACAGGAGCAAACATCCCGTGGGTTATCTTGACAGGAGACTCCGAATCCAATAGGTTTGGGATAGAATTGTCCCCGGGCCTCAACTTTGGTGTCTGAGCGCCAACGGACAGACGAGAGGGAACCGTTCCTTCAAAATTGAGCAGTTCCAAGTGCTGTGTCTCGCTGTTTTTGGGAGTTTGTTCGAGACCGGCTTGAACATCTTCTGGTCCCAGGTCAAGAAGAGCACCGCCAGGGAGCGTCGTGACCGAGGCAGTCATATCAGGGGTGGTATCATGCTGAACTTCATTACCCTCTGAAAGGCCAGGGATCAGTTCCAGACTCCCATTAAGCGGGATGCCATCGATCCAGTTTTCCACTGACGTTTCGGTTGGAAGTGGTGACCTTGAGCCCTGCCAGGAATTGCCCTGTAATCCTGAAAAGAGAATTCCTTCCAGCCCAGTCTCTTTCTGTACTTTGTTCTTGCCGGTCGCGGAACTGAGTATCTCGGATTCGCCTCCATCGTTCTCGATATTAACAAATCGCTTGGAGATTCTGATCGTTTCTTTGGGTGTTTTGGCGGTATGCGGAGAGGGCTGTGCGGGTTTCTTGAGAACCTGCTGCTGTCGACGGGTCTGATGGATACTCCGAGTCTCTGTCGAAGCTGAAGTATTGGGGCGTCTGTTCTTGTACTCGTAGTGAGCAAACGGACTGAATCCGAGCTTTGGGTCCTTGGCTGATTTGTGCTCCAAGGGGTACACGGTTGGGCCGAGACTCAAGCGGCCCCTGACATCTGCTGTCACCACTCTCAAAGATGCGGCTCCTTCGATCAGCTTGCGCTCTTCATCAGCTCCGAAAGTGACGGTAGGGTCCATGTATGTCAAATTCGAAAGACCGGTATGTGTTAGACACCGGTATGAAACTCGAAATGGGCGTGCCGCTTCTGCGAGTATCAGATGCGATTCCTTGGTGAAGGGGGCATCCTGAGATTGTTAGAAATCCTGCTCGAGATAGGAAGAAGCCAAGAATTACCATGAAGCTCAAGAGCGTGTCAAGCTTCCGTACCGCAGTTTCAAGAGACTGTGTATCGCTTTCGGTTCCGATATAGGCCAGAGTC